TGGCATCTCCAATCTCCTCTATGCTGCCTAATGGCCAAGTGACTAGCGCTGTGTGGCCTCTGGTACCACAGACATCAGTTTCGAATCATGGGTGTTTGTGAGGGGTTCGGAATCCACGTTAAACTGTAGGTCCTGGTCTAATTAGCCTAAAGTGTGCCCAAAATAACCGTTGGGGACAAACCAAAACAATCTCCTCTATGGATTTATCGTGTTTGAATTTATCGTGTATGAATTTATCGTCGTCAGCATGAACTTGAGTTTCTATGAATATCGATGCTTAAGTATTAAGTATGCTTCGACACAGGCGACAACAGGCGTTGTAAGGTGGCATTGCCTCCATGGAAATCTTTTAGGGGTAAGCTACTCACATTTGCGTGCCGTGTGGGTTGGAAAACCCTGATAACTTCTATCAGAATGATTCCCAATGCGAGACGGTCTTATGTACGTTACTATAATCAAAATCGGATTTTTTCATTTTCAATGCAGTGACCGCAACAGAAGCCGCCAATGGATAGGAACTTCCAGTGGGCACTGTGTAGGAATTTTTTAAAAAAAATTTCTCTTACAGTTCAAGCAGCTTATATATAGATTTTTAATTTTTAGCATTACATTAATTTTTAATAAAACTTCCATAACAAATTCATTTGATATCAGCTATCCCTAAAATACTCAAATATAGCAGATCAAGGCACCACCGAAACCGTATACTTCATGCTTGTAAATTGTTTTGACAAAATAAGAGCTGTGACAGACGAATACATCAAAACGAACAATATTTATAACGGAATCTAGATTCGTATTCCACTCTGAGTGGAATATGAATGCAGACAAGCGTTGTTCAAACTGATCTCTAACACTGAAAAAGAAGATAAGATGCGCGGTGCCATTTATTTATATCAGCAAAAGACTCAATGTTACGACCAAGATGCCAATTAGCAAATCATAACAACGAATGAAATATAGCGCACTCGCTCAAAGACAGCTGGTATTCTTATTATCATATGTAAACATGATGTTGTCCTAGTTACAAATCCGTGACATCTTTAGAAAAATGAAACCATAAATTAAAAAGTAAGATAATAATTTATTATTTAAACAGATGAAGCTCCTAGCGTCAGAGACACTTTCATTAATTTATTTTTTATTTAAATCAAAAGTTGATTTTCACGTGATTTTATTCATGTGTGCGTTTTAAAACTGGCATGAAATATGTGTTGCTAAATATAACGATTGAACGATCAAGTCACGTGCTCTGTAATTCATTTCCATATAAGCAGATGAAAATATAAGCAGATGATTGTTTCAATGTCCTCAAAATAATGTCTAAGGATTAATTTGACGACGATTTGTAGGTTGACGGAGCTCCTTGGTATGGGTAACCGCTAACTCCTTCTTTGCATATGAGAGGGAAGTTACTTTAGCTTATTGCATTAAAAAATAAAACAATTAAAATAGAGATAATAATATATGGGAGAGGAGAAGTTTTTTTTTTCTTCTTTTCAATAAAGTATTTAATAATTAATAATAAGAATTTAATAATTAAAATAATAAAGTAAAAAGAGGATTTTGAAGAATTACAAACTGAACGTAGTTTGAAAGAGAACTTAAAAATAAAAATACTTTCAATAGGTTAATCTAATTCAAAAAGGAGTACAAGTTAAAAAATAACAAAAACGTTTAAGAGCAGTTTGTTAAGAGGATGAACTGGTAATGACGGAGGAAATCTGCGAATCGTACAAGGTTAGTTGCAAGTGAACGATAGAAGAGCAGAGCCTGGGGGAGGGGAAACGAAAACGTTTCGACTACCAAGTCCTGTAAACAATATAGTCACTACGTGGCATTGTTAGATGGTTTGGAGCATATACAGTTGGCAAAGATTTGTAGCTTGTCAGCTTTATTGTTGGTAGAATTAATTTGATTGATTAAATTTGGAAGATTTTTGATATCAGTGAGAAGGGAAATAAATTCTTTCATTAATATAACAGCATTTTGGAATAAGTTGAGATCTTCAATGCCAGGTAGTGAACTTGGTTGGTTTTGATTTACAAAAGTTGAAGGAGGTACAGCTGCAGTTGCGTTTACGTTGTTTTTAAGCATGGAAGCAAAACTGATGATATTTTGGTAACTTGTCTGGGAGGAATAACTTTGGGATAGGCAGCCTGTCTGTTAGAGTTAGTATTTATCTTTGGAAATTTGGGGCAGCCCCTCCAAGTTGCTAAGTGTCCTGTACCGTTGCAATTAATGCATTTTGGCACCTCAAGCTTCCCTTAAATTGGACACTCCTTATGGGAGTGTTCTTTACCACATTTAAGACACCTAGGTAAGGATTAATTTGTATTTATAAAAGTTAATTTAAAAACCACTTAACAAGACTTCTTAGTCAGAACTGCGTAGTGCTTCTTGTAGTATTTGAATAATTGCTTTTTCAAAAGTTCTAGAGTAATTCAATTTTGTTTCATTTCTGTCGCTATTGGATTTAATAATTTTTGTTGGGTTTCTGCATTTTAGGGTTCCTATTTCACTAAGTCTCATTTCTGCGTCAAGTGGAATCTCTAAAACTATAAAACCATAGTATTTTGTATTCACAGTGGGTCATTCTGTTTGTTTAGGAAGGGACTTATCGACAATCGCATGGGAAAAAAATCGCCTAATAAACAAGCTAAACCCTAAAGTGCAGAACTCTCGTTCTTGTAGTACTCTGACTACTTACTTCAAAAATTTCTTGGGTTATTGCACATTGGTATGCTCCTAATATGCTCCTAATATTTTGCATGTTCTGCTGATCCAGAAAATCCTTGGCACAGGATGAGAAAGTTTTCTAGGACTGTTTTGGTAGGTTTTACATGTTATATGTTTTTGTGGATGAGATGCTGAACCAAATAACGTCCAAGACGATTTATGTATGAAATTTTGAGTAGAAGATGATCTAGTAGATTTTAGGATTTTTAATTCATTTTTTTAGAGAAGACGTTTTATTTACATTAATTATTACTTTTAATTTAAAGGTCAATCATTATGGTTGGTGCAATATGGATAACAAAAAGCCAGTCGCCACAAATTTAATGGTGGGCTTTATACAGCTCATGGCCTGCTCATATCTACTCCATAACAAACTGTTTCACTAAAAGCCTGTACATTCTGTGAGGAACACCTGTTTCTATCATCTGGTGGTGTCATCTGTCACTTCTGTTTATCATAATTGTTTGGTGTCAATGTGACCACATTAAGCCTCGCTTATTGTATATATGAGTAACAATGAACCTGTGTTAGCAGATGCTTTTGGCTTATCAAGGGTAGTTTTTTAATGAGTTGTTTATGTCTTTTTTATCATTGAGTTACAACGGGAAGATATATGTTTTCATGTTTGTTGGAGAATGTTTCTCGAGATAGTATATTTCATAGATATATTTAAACATAATATTTATAAATAAAATGAAAACAAAATTACCAATTGTGCTTATCTGTAGCTACATAAGTATTCTTATTGAACACGGTTTTGAAATGATTTTATCGTTTAGTTCACGTTGTTTATCTGACCGTGTAATATATATATATATATATATATGTGTGTGTGTGTAGAACTTTGTTATACTAATTATATATGTTTTAAATATATGTTTATCGAGGAAAAATATGTTTTAGAGCATTTTTATTGCTCTATTTTTTGTGTGTGCTTAGAAAATTAATAACAAATTTTAAAAAATTGAAATCCTCTTTTTGTTTATACTCAGAATATTTTCAAACATCTAAAGTATGTGGTAATTTCATATGAATAATTGGTTTCACACAAATCTGAGAAAGAGACAAAGAATTTGTGACGCTCTTGATGAGAATAAAATGTGAGGGTTTCTAATACATTATTCATTTAGTGTTTTACAATACTTCAACTTACTTTATTATTGCCTTATTACTTCTTATTGCTTTAATTATTTCAAACTAGCATTTTAATTACTTCAACTATTTCAATTATTACTTCGACATTATTTATTATTTCGTTAAAAGTTGGTAGTAGGCAAGTAAAAAATGGATTTTAAATTTTCATTGATTAAATTTTCGATCTAATAACATTCCTAATTGAAAAAGGTTTCTTACAGATGTATTGTTGTTTTCAAATTCCAAGGACTTCCAATTTTCATTAGAACAGCAGAAATATAGTAGATTCAGCGTTATACGTATTTTACTTTTTGAAAATAAAGATGAAAATTTAAAGTTCATTAAAACACACACACCTGGTGAGGTATGGCGTAAGAAAATCAATAAAAGGCCCCATTCCACTTCCAGAGACCACACTTTGTTCATTCCTGTTCTAAATCATAACAAATGTTCAATGAAAAAACATACAAAAATTAATTCCTCCAATAATAATTGTTTCTTACTGAAAATAGATGTGTGGGAATAAGGTCATTTTCATTTCAATTCTAAACATTTAAAAACAAATCCATCGAATAATTAATATACGAATTGACAATAATTTCAATGGCAGTTTTAAAGTTCAGTTTTGAAGCACATTTTAGTAAATTTGTAGGGCTTGTATAATGAGCTTGATCCACCGACAGGAGATGAAAGACGATGTTTTCTTCTGGGAAAACATTTAGGGATAATTAATCAGTAATTGCAGATTAGTTAATAGTACAGGAGGAAGGGTTAGTTGCGATATCTAATTTAAGAAATGTCCAATATGTGCAAATTTATATATATATATATTTATATATAAGTTGGGAAACTTTCGTGCAAAAACTTGACAGGTAAACCCGTACAAAACAATCGCCATTTCTAGGTCAGGCGTCAACAAGGTAATTTTTTACTGGAACTTTGCACGGGAATTTCCTATACTGGGCTTGAAGACGAAGACGAAAGGATGCCCATATATCAGATGTACCTCTTAAGATGCTAGCTCATAATATATGTAATGTGCGAGTATGCATAATGTATACATGTTTGTAGTATATACCATCCCTGAAGACGCCATCTCGAAATGTTTGTAACATATGTGTATGGCCAACGGCCGTACCATGCTGAATATACCGGTTCTCGTTAGATCACCGAAGTTAAGCATCATTGGGCGCGGTCAGTACTTGGGTGGGTGACCATCTGGGAACACCGCGTGCCGTTGGCAAATTTGGGACCTGAATGGCCGAGTGTCTGGCGCTCGGTGCCACAGGTTTCGGGTTCGAATCCCGGCGGTGCCATGGATAGTGGTTCGGAATCCACTTTAAGCCGTAGGTCCCGGTCTCCTATGACTGTAAGAGCGTCACGGAGCAAAAGTCAGGCTTCTACCTACGGGTGCTCCATCACAACAGAAGCTGCTTCCTTCCCCTTCAATCATGAGTACGTACGGGCTCGTGGGCTTGGCCAGCCAAGTGGGATAAGAAACAACAACACATATGTGTATAATGCATGTTCGCATGTACGTGAAATGTATCTACGCATGTACACACGCGACACATGCATGTAAAATGTACGTATGCATGCATATACGTACGGATACTACATACTACACAACATTAATGAATTTTTATGTATGCATTCATTTGTATATGTATGCATGTATGTATCCTTATATATACGAAAAATCATGTATACACTTGTATATGTTCTCATGCATCCATGAATGTATGCACAATTGGGTGTGCATGTATATGTATATTTATGCATGCATGTTAGTTGTATATGTATGCGTGTGTGTGTGCGTATGTATGTGTAAGCATGCGTACGTACGTATGAAATCGTACTTATATGTACGTTTTGAATTATTAACTGCTGAATCATTAACTGCTGTTTCATTTTAAAACTTGCAAAAACCCGCTGATAATTTGTTTATATTTTGTATGCCTTTTTGTGCATTTTTCTTCCCGTATCAGGTAGTAGACAGCATTAAAAGGCATATTTGGGAATTTAAAAATACAAACTATAACCCGAAAGAATAGAAGGCTGTTACCGTAAAATGGTTTTACATTTTGTCAATCACTAACAGATTTTTTTTTATTGGAACCAAACCATTCCGAAACCACTGATACGCCATCTTGTATGAGAACAAAATTCAGACAGAATAAGATGAAAATTACAAAGAAAATTGCAGAAAAAAGGTCAAATAATTATGAACAAGTACAATAAAATTCTTCTGGATCATTTAGTTTTATCATCACAATCATAACTAACAAACATTGGTTGGTGTTTGGATTCCTAGAACTTCCTAGCCCCGAGGGGCTTCATCTCCGGTAGAACAAGTTGACTATTAGGAAAACAAATAATAGAAATTATTAAAATAAACCAGGAAAAAATAAAAATATTCCACGATCTTTTAATTAAAATATTCCACGATTAATATTAGGATCATAAATATTAATTTCCTGGGTTTGCCGAGTCTCCGTGGTTGTCAATAGAATTAAAGAAATTTTCTGAAAAGTGTTTAAGAAAGTCTTTAAGTGGGGGAATATTAATGGCTTGCTGTATTTCGGAATTTCTCATATACCATTTAGCTGCGGTGATTTGTCTGAAATTTTGAATAATTTCATTGATCTTTCAGTTAGACTTGACGGTATAAGACCAGACTGGACATGCGTAGGTAATTACAAGTCGTAGAATAGCTCTATACAACAGAATTTATTGTTCTATTATGCACTTTTTCAACGTGGGATGTTGGTCTAAATAAATACATAAATATTTTGAATTATTTTACCAAGGAATTATGGTTTTCTTCATTTTAATATTCCATTTTTCAATTCCTTCCATTAGCTCACACTTTCCCTATACATATCTTGTTCAAATTTTCAATGGTTCATAAAATACTTTTTATTCATCCACTCAAGTTCAAATACATTTTTTTGAACTTGTAGTGGATGACACTTGACGTTAATACAGTTTTTTCAAATATTAATTCAGTAATTAACTTTAATTAATCAATTTTATGTTTTTTAGATTTAAGTTGCATGTGTCTACCAATAGATGGCGCCATATAAACTTAAAAAATGAATGAAAATTATTTATAAAGGACTTTTTGCAACATAGAGAAAAAAAAAAGTAGGAATTGACTTTAATTTTGTTTTTTTATATTACTTGTTTATTTATAATACTTATTGAAAAGATGACTGCCGCAGTTTTATCAACATTCAATGTAATTTTCCTCTTATCAAACCCGTTAGTAAGGACTTTAAGATGATTTGTTTGGATGACAATAAGATATTTCATGTTATTGTTCTTACAAAAGATAGTCTGTATCATCTGCATAAATTGCAGTCATAACTTTGGGATTAGTAGGCATATCGGAGATAAAAATAGAAAAGAAGGTAGGAAATCTTGCTTACATAGGGAGTTCTGAAATATTTCTAAAAGTCAAATGTTACATTTACATTATTTAAACGTTACATTTATAACGTTAACAGATAATTTTCTATCATGAAGGTAGGACTGGATTAATTGAATGAACAAAAGAGTAAAATTAAAAATAATTAATTTATAAAGTGCGCAGTTAGTCCAAACTGTAGCAAACGCTTTCTGGATATAAAGAAACTCTGCTCCCGTACATTGTTTATTTTGAATTGTTATATATGCTGTTGTATGAAGTAAATGATAGGTCATGGATAAGTTTTTACGAATTCCAAATTGATCAGGGTTAATAATATTTTTGTTAGAAACGAAAAAAATTAATTTTTTATAAATAATAGTTTCAGTGATTTTTCTAAAAGAAGAGAGTAAAGAAATAGGTCTGTAATTTTCAGGATTTGGTGCGACTTTTCCTGGTTTCAAAATGAGAATTGCAGCTACTATCTTCCATGCAGATGGAAAGTATTAGAGTTCTAAAATCTTATTAACGATGTTATACAAAAGGATAAGACTAACAATAGTCAGTCTTTACAGTTTATCGGAGTACCTTGTGCCCAAGGGGCCTTAAACTCCTATATGGTCAAAATGAATACATGGCGATAGGTAGGATAAACATGGTTATAAAAAAAAAAGGAAATAAGTAGTTAAGGAAAATGTCCCCAAATTCAGAATTTTAAGAAATAAGATTAACAGGCATTTAATATGTGTAATGTATTTTTAATGCAGTATTTCAACATTATAGTGATAGTATCATTTCCCTTATTCTAGTCACTGTGGCTAAATAGATAGCCCAAATGGTTTCAACATTAAGAGACCTTGGTTCAAAACTCACCAAGCGAAGTAGAACTTAATGCTCCGGTTTCTATAACAAAGATGAGAAAGATAAATTTATAGATCGGAATGTGCTGCACTGAGCACTAATGAGAACATCGATGGATATCAAATCACTATTTGATCTGGTTGTAAAAGTTCCCAGTGGATAGCTCCTCGACAATCCCTTTAAATGAAAAGAATTAATATTTTTTTGATGCAAATAGACCTTCGCAAGGATAGGATAGGCTCATATTATTGTTATTGGCCACATATTGTTGTCGAGTAAACAAAGAAGAAGCAATAGATATTTGATCTGCCATATATATTTTTCGATTAATTCCTGGCGAATCCAACGACACCATTTGTAGAAAAAGCCAAGTTTGTCCAAATGATTTTCAATTGTTAAGTGGCTACGCTTAACTTATCACGGATCTCCCTCTTAATCATGGTACTTAAATTATACACTAAAGCGCTCAGAAAGTTGCCATCAGGCTCCTTTGGTCGTCAGGTGCGAGGTTCATTTTGAAGCTTCATATTACATGACCTGATTTTTTCAAACCATCTTTGAAAAATTTTACTGTACGCACTTTAACCTTTGATGGTTCAAAGATGAAGCACAAAATTTTGTGAGCTTCCGTCGCATTATGACCAAATTGGTACTCATAAAGCATAAAATGCCTAAAATGAGATTTTTCTTGATCCATCCTATACCTCGCAAAATATAATATCATAAAAATCAATACTAGCTTTCGATTAATATGAATATTGTATAAATCACACAATGAAATGATGAACAATTCAATTGAAGCTACAGAAAAACGACGCAACTTTCTTACCAATCTAATACATATAGGAAATACTCTCTTATCCATGCCAAGTTTGTTTGTCTCCCTATGGTAATCTTGTGCGCGTGAGGGCTAAACAGACCGGGACCTACAGTTTAAAGTAGATTCCGAACCACTCACAAACATCCATGGCACCGAGCGCCAGAGAGCTAGCCACTCGGCCATCAGGCCACTAACTGATTAAGGATTCCATTTTGTCATGTGTTTTTTTCTTTTTGATACAACGATTTTCTTTGTAATTTTATTTCCGAGATTGCATTGAACACTAGGTACCAGCAGCTGATGAGATTGAGAAGAAGAAAAATATAATGGTTATAAATAATGGCTAACATTCTGACTGATCCTTCAAAGCTTCTACCCAGAGAGTAGCAAAATAAATTAATAGAACGGAACGAACTCATATTAAGGTGTAACAGGAGCACAGAAGGCGGCAAGTCTACAAATAATTGGGTTGGTGCATAATTATCAGGCGTTTCTTTGACGTGCTATATTTTAATAAAAATTTACAATATTTTGTACATTTATGAATGAAAATATCCTTCTACTTTTAGGTTATAAAAATATGGGTCGATAATCATAATCGTATTCGTCGTATTATGCTGTACCACTTTGAGAAAGCATGGGAAACAGCGCTGTCATTTTGCGATCTCAGCGAACTTTTTGGTGAGGGCACAATCAGTGTGGACCATTCAATCATCGTTCATCGTCTCAAAAAGCTTGGAAAGGTATGGAAATTGGCTGGATAGATCCCCCATGAACTCAACGATAACGATAAAGCCGAACGTGTCCGAATGTTCACCGATTTGCTTCATCGAAACGAGCGGGGTCACTGTGGATGAATCCTGGCCTTCAAAAACCTGCTCTTCAAAAACCTCAAAAGAAAGCAGGTATGGGTTTCGCCAGGAGTTTCACCAAAAGGAATAACGAAGGACGTGCAATGTAAGAAGGCAATGTGGTGTGTTTGATGGGACAGAAGCGGAATCATCCATTGGAAAATCATCTTAAACGGGATTTGTTATGGGTGGAACCCAACCCAAAAATGAGTATGATTATTGATACTCATTTTTATAACCTAAAAGTAGAAGGATATTTTCATTCATAAATTTATAAAATATTGTAAATTTTTATTAA